ATTCCTGACCATCACTCTGCGATTTCTGGCATTCACCCAAGCTGTATATTATGCCCTGTGTTATAGGAAACCCTCTCTGGTATACCGATCCTTTGTTATATTGCCATACTCCTTATATTACACCACATATCCATTATAGTGCCTGCTTGTAAACGACTACATTTTCTGCAACATGTACTGTCTTCATATATGATATATGAAAATATATAGATTTGGTATGAAATATGGAAACCTCTGATCTAGAAAACAAAAGGGAACAGAGTGCCACCTCCGTGTGTAAAATCGTGTATTTGGATAAATAAAACAAGGGATAAATGTACTCACAAGCAAACGTTTTCATCACGCTTTAACAACAAACTAGAGGCCGCACTGTCTGTTAACCCAACATGGTATCGCCCGACTATGTAACATGGTAGCCTTCGGTCACATCACCGTCCAGCGGCCGCAGTCAGCCAAGATTGACGTGTTTCAGGGGCAAGCCCCCTTCATCAGAATCATGTTAGCACCCCTGTGATATCTGGTATCCCTAGTTTTATATGTCCTTATATTCCTTTTTTTGCACCTTATCAATCATCAGTAGCTGTTTTTTCCCTTGTACTTAACTGTAAACTGGTACAGCATAATTAAAGGAGATGCTTTTCTTGTGATTTTGGCAGCCCACATGACCAGGCTGTGCTCTTATTTTTTGGATTATTTTCATACATTCATTTATTTTCAATGTGCTCTGTCAGCTTTAGAGCCCCAAAGCCAGCCGAGGGCAGAGAACTCTTGTGAAGTACATCAGTGTGCTTTATAAATGTGCAGTGTTTGTGGCCGTACTCAGGGTCCTTTGTACATAGAACAGCAGATAATACTATTCACATTCCCCTGTACTCTGAAATATTACTCCACACTTTGACCTACATTTACAGCCCAGCCCATTTATAAAATGCACACTGCAGAATAGAGCTTGCGGTATGTCGCAGAGTTCTCTCTGCTTAACACAGTGGAGTGAAATCGGTGATTGGAGGAGAGCCTGGTTACATGACTTTGACAGCTCATGTGACCAAGCTCTCCTTATGGCTTTATTTCCCCCCTTCCTACATTCATTTTATTTGTGCTTCCAGTGTTTTGTGGTCCTGAAGTTAGCAGAGCGCATTGCACATTTGTAAAGCACACAACTCTACAGCTACTTTAGATCAGTTTACTGTAAATTCAGTGTGGAGGGTGCTTTATGTATTTCATTGCTCGGAAGTGGTCTCTATGCTTTGAAAGGGTTAACAACTTTCTGGGGTCTCCCCCACAGATATTCCAATTCCCTTCAACAATTCCACCATGCAATGGAGATGGTAAAATAGAATAATGTGTATCAATGCACTATTATACAGTAAACTCCCCATTATCCGTCATTCAAGCAACAGACAATAAAATATATTTTTTTCCGGTTGCTTGATAGACATGTGCACACTAAAAAATGTTGTTAGCAACTAAGGGGACACGAAGGATCCAGCCGTAACTTTGGCTGATCCATCAGCTCTTTCCGGCCCTCTGAAGCCCTTCGGATCCGTCGAACCGAAGGGTTGCTGTACGGGCTATTCACTATAGCCCGTACAGCAGCCGAAGGTGGCCGAGCGGCTCAGCCGAGGCACATGCTTCGGCTCGACTGAGCCGAAGTGACACCCGAAGCGGGGTGAACGGCCTGCCGAAGGCTGGTTGTAAGCCACGCAAATGACAGCTGGGCGGACCCAGGCATGATATCACGGCTTGCTTTGCCCAGTTGTAATGACAGATCAGCGTCCCCAAATGACCTGGGGACACTGATCTGTCATTAAACAATGACAACTGGGTGGAGCCGGCCGTGACCTCACGGCTCCGTCCAGTTATTATTCATTGGCTGGTGCCGGCCAATAGGAAACAGTTGGAAACAGTTTGTCAAAGGTTAGCTCCTCCCAATTGTTTTTTTGTTTTGTTCTTTTATAAAAATTCTTTATTTCTTTTTTTATGTAACTATTTAATTACATTTGTAAAATATTTTTTTAACCGTTTTTTTTCTATTTTCTACTCTGCTCGGTACCACAGAGGTGCCGAGCAGAATAGCTACGCCAAATGCCGCTCGGCGGAATTCGGCTATTCACTCACTGCCTTTCGGCCCCTATGTGAAGAGGGGCAAACGCTGCCGGAGCTTCAGCGCTTGAGCTTAGCTGATCCAGATGTTGGATTGGCTGAGTTGAAGTCCTTCTGCACTTCGGCTCAGCCGAACATGCAGAGCATGTTCGGCTGACCGAAGTGCAGCCGAAGGCAGCCAATGTATGGCTTATTTCAGACAATGTACGGCTGAAATCAGCTGTACTGAGCCGGAGTGAATAGCCGAACATTGTTCGGCTCACTTCACTTCGGCTGGGTCATTCACTCTGCTGCCTTCGGCAGCTTTGTGAATAACCCCCTAAATGTATTTAGCTGCTAACTAAATTCTCTGTTTACATTATGTGCAGTTCTCTGTTTACATCTTGCTGCCGGCTGGCGGATGGCTGACAAGTGTTCAGTGGTTGGTGGAAACCACTGCGCACGATAACATTACATTAAAAAAATTTAAGAATCCAATGAATGGCTGCACCAAAAACAAGCTGCAGAGAGGAAGGCCATGTTTAAAGGAGAACTATGGTATTAAGGCTTTTCCCCATAGTTCTCCTTAGGGTAACGGGAGGACACAAACTAGCGTCCTCCCGTCACCCTAGGCTCAGTAAACCGCGAACTGTAGCTCGCAGTATACTGAGACGCAGCAGTATACCGCAAGCAGCTGCTGCGTGACTGACAGCTGGCTCTGCCTCTAGATAGGCAGAGCCAGCTGTCAGTCACGCAGCAGCTGCTTGCGGTATACTGCTGCGTCTCAGTATACTGCGAGCTACAGTTCGCGGTTTACTGAGCCTAGGGTGACGGGAGGACGCTAGTTTGTGTCCTCCCGTTACCCTAAGGAGAACTATGGGGAAAAGCCTTAATACCATAGTTCTCCTTTAAAATATATAATATATATCTTTACATGCATGCATGATAAAACACATGGTGAAACACATGGTAAACCGCATGGTGGCAGGGTCGGATATACCATTAGGCAGAGTAGACAAGTGCCTACAGGTGCCCTCCATAGAGGCACGCTATGCAGGTAACTACTGTGCCTAATTCCAGGTGTTGTGTCAAGATACAACACTGGCAATAGCAGGAAGGGTACATTCTGCACAAAATGCACCCTCCTACTCCAAGACCAGAGGCGCCTGCAGGAACCGCCAGCTTCTGCACATGCAGGGGAAGGACCCCGGTGCGTTACGCAACGCTGGGGTCCTCCTCTGCATATCTGAAAGCCAGCGGGTCCCGCAGCAGGTAAGGGTGCCGGCTCAGGCTAAACAGATTTCCTTTCCTGCCTACAGGCACCCGAAATGTAAATTGGGCCCTGCCTGATGGAACGCATGGTGAACTGCAAATATAAGACATAATAATAGGGGGACACTGTGTGTAGTGGTAAAAAAAATACCAATATGGAGAGGGAGAAAAAAAGGATACATAATTAGCTCAGACCCCATTCACACTGAGCTACATCAAAAAAATTTCAGAGCTGATTTGAGCTGAGCGACTTTGAGAGACATTGAGCTACAGTGCACATATTGTCGCGCTACGTAACGCTACTTTTGCCATGGACTTCGTAGCTGCTACATTGGGCTGTATGCAATCAAATGCGGTCTTGATGTGACATAATTCCTCTTCCTGTTTCCTGCTTATTTTTCTGTGCAAAAGTGACACTTGTGTAGCGTGACAATGTTGTGCAAAATCGCAAAATTGAGCTACACCATTCAAGCTAGGTTCACACCTAGGCTACACCTCACCGTTCGGCAATCGTGCACGATTCTGCGCGGATTGCCACGCGGCCAGGAGTCGCCAAGGCGTGAACCGATTACGCTGTGGGTGCCATTATTTTCTAATGGCACCCCAGTCGCGCCAGGCGGATTGCTCGGTTTCCCGCCGTGATTCCGAACACGATCGCAGCTAAAACAGCCACGCGTTGTGTATCGCAAACAAAAATATTTATACCTTTTTTTCTGCTGCCTGCATTGTACAGGACCACGCGATTCTGGGATGCACGTCCTGGGTGTCATGTGGTGTAGTGCAGGTGTGAACCTAGCCTCAAGTCTATTGGGCCAAATTTCACGAAATCCGCAGAAAAATAGGTAATGTTAAAGCAATAAGCTTGAGCTACAAGCTACAGGTGACATTGAGCTATGAAATGTAAACAGCTCCATTGAAATGCATTGGACGGGCTACATTGTGCTGATGTTTGAGCGATTTTTTAGCTGGAACTCACGCTACAAATCGCTCAGTGTAAGTGATTTGTAGCGTGATTTCCACTCAAAAATCGCTCAAATATCACTGACAAATCGCTCAATGTAGCTCATCCAATGCATTTCCATTGAGCTGCATTTCCATCTCGCAGCTCAATGTCACCTATAGCTTGTGGCTCAAGCTTGTTGCTCGAACATGACTTATTTTTCCACCGGATTTTGTGCGATTTGGCCCCAATAGGCTTTGATAGACTGCCAAAAGAAGTATTACACAGTGCGACAAAATGAGCACTGTAGCTCAATGTCGCTCAGCTGAAATCAACGCTTTTTTTTTATGTAGCTCAGTGTGAATGGGGTCTTAATGTGACCAGTACCACTACTTACCCAGTAGGAAGGTGCATAAAAGCTCATACCTATTATAATCCTGTGAGTGCATTTGATAGACATTCTACTATTTTACTAACTCCATTGGGAAATGCGCTCTGGTCTTTTATGTTTATGTCTCGGCATATTTATTATTGAATCATACCATCTTCAGTTCTCCTTTCGGTTTCTGGTATGAAGAAACTAGTGCAGAGCAGACTGCACTGACCACCAGCTATTGATTTTACTGTGACCAGTGAGTACAGATGGAACGTGCACAGCGCCATCTAGTGGCCACCAGTCCCTGCTCACCGTGCGCACATCCGAGGGGATGAGGAGGATGCTGCGTTTCATGTAGCACCATACCACAAAGCTCCATCAGAGAGCGCTCAGGCTACTGCAACATCCTCGGAGCAGGAGGAGGAGGAGGTGGGAAGCAGCTTGTCCTGTTTATTCCCATCCATCCTCAGCCACTCTTCTGCACGCACAGGGATGGACCTGTCTCCGGGGGACCCTCTGGCTGCCTTCCCACCTCCCTCTTTAGACTGAGCAGGTATTGGGGCTGCACCCCAGGTGTTGTCAGGATCATGCACCGGGTTCCCCGCAGCCTGTGACAGGGAAAGAAGAGGAAGCATAGGAAGCAGCTGAAGGAGGAGGAGGAGAAGCGGATTCGGTGGTTGCTAAGGTAATCCCAGCTGGTCCTCTCCTGGGTTACAATGTATCACACCCCGGATCACTGCTCCTTCATATTGAGTGTCTTTCCTGGACGAAACACTGTGGTGGTAATCATTTTTTATTCCCAGCCATTGTAAATCCATGCTCCCCCCTTCCCCATTGTCAGCCTACAGAACATGACCAAATCCTAAACACAATGGCAGCCATACAAATGCCAGGAGGGGGTGCTGCTTGTGCTGGAATTTGTGTAGCTTGGGGGTATGACAGTGCTGCTTTGTCTGTTTTGGGGGGTGTTTATTTCATTCGCCATTCCTTTTAGCTCAGTTGTTTTTTTAAAATGCTGCGTTGTTTTGGATTATTGATAATCCAGCACAATATTTATATTAAACATCCAGTCTGTATTTTCATTTTTCTCATTTGCGTTATGTTACGCCAGCGCTTAGGTGGCTCACTATATTTCTATGAATGGGTGCAAGGAGGATGGCTGATGATTGGGGGGTGGCTGTTTTGGATTATGTGTGTATAGTTTTGTTTTGTTTTGTTTTTCTTCCTGAGAGTGAATTTGTAAAGTGTTTATTGTGTGTATGAACCTAGAGGATGCTTGCTTAGACTTGCTGTTTGTTACAGGAATCTCAATTCTTTTGGAAATGGTTGCGTGTGATCCTATTTTTAGACTATTTTTACAGGTGGTACACTAAAAACAGTTTATAATCCCTTCATGTTTTCTGCCTAGAAGTATTGTGACATTTTTGTGTAGTGTGTATGGCTTGTTTGGATGTGGTAACCTTTATACCTCTATTGTATTCAAATTTGATGTGCTTACACTTTGTGTTATAGCTACACTCAAATATGAAAATGAACATGCAAGCTGAATTTGTGATATACATTCAGCATTCATAAATACACATTTTTTAACTATGACAGTGCCATGTTGTAGGAAAAGTCATCCATTATATCTGCAACAGCTTGGGTAGGAGACTTGTGCAGTGCTTGGGCTGGACTGTAATATGTGTATTTTTGGAGTTTGTGTTATGTTGTTAATGAATTGCATTGCTTGTTACTGTGCGGGATTGTGTGGTGTTATTATCCCTTTGTTATTGCATTTTTGAGCATGGATTTGCCAGTATTTGAGGTGATCACTTGTATGTGTATATTTGCATCAACATGACAGTATGACAGTGACTATCTTGGGTTTGTGTAGTGCCCTTGAAACGTTGAGATTCTTTAAGCAGTTAGGTTAAACAGGTAATAAATGTATCTTTGAGTGTATGGATTAGGATTTATGTGTTTTGTTAGATAATCATACTATCAAAACATCTCAAAATGCATTACTTATTTTATAATTTATTTTCATTTTGTGGATTGGGTTAGGTAAATATACATACATACATACATACATACATACATACATTTACAGACACACATAGAATAACAATTGTATTTTTATCTTTTATCTGTTTATCTTTCATGACCCCCACAGACCCTGAATACAGAAGGTCTCTGATATGGAAATTCTAACACGTTCTAGCAGTGCTGAGAGATGGCCTGCCCCTCTCACACCTTCCTGTAGACCAATAAGGTGGGAATTTGCCAGAATGACCCTGGAATACCAGAATTTTTTGATCCAGTTGTCAGGTTGTTATTAATGTAATTCATCCCAGAGATGTAAACAAAAGCAGTGTGTGAGTCACGCATGCGGTGCTTTAGGCAAGGGTCACACCTAGGCGATATATTGCAGGGATTGAGTCGCGCGATATCGCGCAAAACACAGATGCGCATTGAAGTCAATGGAGCCAGTTCACACCTTTGCGGTTTGTCGCGCGGACGAAATCGCCTGTTGCGCGAAAAAGGTGCAGGAGCTATTTTTGGGTGGTTGTTGCTTGGTGTGGGTTCCATAGACACCTCTACTCATTGAAAACCTGCTGTGCGGTTTTCAAAGCTCAGTCGGGCAAATGAAAACGTGCGAAAACCACTCAGTCGCCTAGGTGTGGACCTAGCTCTAATTTCTATGGTGGGAGGAGGAGGAGCACTGGGCTAGAACAGGGGGCAGGAAGAGGAGGAGCAGTGAGAGGAAGGAGGAGTAGAAGTGGGCAGGAGCTGGAGGAGCAGCGGGTGGAAAGAGAAGCACTGGGCAGACATGCAGAAGGAGCGGGAGGGAAGTGGAGAATGAGGAGGTGCCCACCAGGATTTCCCAGATACCAGCCATGCCACCAGAGGGGTAATTGTTTGTTTGTATGTATGTATTTGCGTATGCAGTCAGTAAAATAGTGTGTGCACCTGGCTGTCACCTATCCACCGTTCCAGTGACACTGACAGTGCTTGTCAATGTCTCTGTAACGGTGTATGCACCTGGCTGCCACCTACAAGCATCATCATTGTCACTGGAATGGTAAATAGGTGGCAGACACCTTTCCAAATACACTGATGGAGCACCTGGCTGCCACCTACAATCACTGTCAGTGCCACTAGAATGGAGGATAGGTGAGCGCACACACCACTTCATGGACACTGACTGTGCTTGTAAGTGGCAGCCAGTGTTTCTGGAAAGCTTTCTGCACCTGGCTCCCACCTAATCAACATTCCAGTGACAATGACAGTGCCTATAGGTGGTAGACAGGTGCACTGTCATTGTCTCTGGAAGGATGTGTGCACCTGGCTGCCACCTACAAACACTGTCAATATCCATGAAATGGTGTGTGCACCTGGCTTTCACCTATCCACCATTTCAGTGACACTGAGAGTGCACCTGGCTGCCACCTACTGTCATTGTCACTGGAATGGCAGGTACATGAGATCCAAGTGCAAATTTCAGTGACACAGTGCCTGGAGGTGGCTGCCAGGTGCACTGTCATTGTGACTGGAATGGCGGATCGGTGGGAGGTAGGTGCACACACCTTCCTAGAGATGCTCTCACCTATATGCCATTTCACTGACAATGCACCTGACTCCCACCTACAGGCACTGTCGGTGTCACCGGAATGGTGTACACACAATTCACCTTCATCCCAGCTATCCACCATTCTGTAAACTCTAGAGCTATTGTTTAAGCCCCTCCCACTTTTTAAAAGCACAATGTGGACACACCACAATGGATTCTCTTATTGTATCACCCCCCACCCATCACCCTGCCCACAGTCTTAGGAATTACCTTTTCTAAAAGTTCCCAGGTATGATAAAGTCTGCCCAGTCTGGTGACAGCCCGATACAAAAAGTGAGTGAGGGAGGGTCAGCTTTCAACACTGCTAAGAAATGGTATAATGTACAGATCTAAGTATGTGGTGGTGTTTTATTTCTGGGGTACATGTACACAGCGGCGTCACAAGGGGGGTGCGGCCCATTGGAGGTGTGACACCAAAATGACTGACAGTCATTTTGGTGTCACTCCCTATGAAAACCCAGGCAGTCGGTCATGGACTGAGAGCCCGATAGTGTCAGGAGAGAGGAGGGGACCCAGCAGCATATCTCATCCCGCCGGGTGAACATCCCCTCCTCTCTCTGCCCCTGTCCATCACCAATACGGCAGGCGTCAACAAGATGACCCAGCATGCGGGTGACACCCGGCCTTGGGATGCCCCTGCATGTACACCATGACAGGTATTTTTTAATCCTTTTTACAGATTGCTGTTTGTGGGTTATTTCACTCTGCAAACACCTGTCAGGTATACTGAGATAATCCAATAACCTTTTAGCTGTTCTGCATTGTTATTTACCTCTAATTCCATCCCGCAGTGCTTCTTTACTGGGCTGTGTCAATTTCAGCTTAGCTATTTTTAGATCAGTACAATCCGTTTGATTGTACTGCACTGGTCTTGCCCCATGCATGCGAGTTTATGAATATCGGGACCTATGGATATCAATTCAAAAGGCCAGTGTGCAGAAACCCAGAGTGACTGGAAGTCAGCAATTCCATTCCAGTGATACTTTACCTAATTCAATTGTAAGCTGAGCATACACGTTACAGTCTGATTTATCAAAACTATGTAACATGAGGATTTATCTTAACGTTCCTATCAATCTCTATCCAATCCAGTCAGTTAGGCCCTGCAACTACACATGTTGCTATATATAAAGGAGATTGTACAATCAGATTGTAGGGTGTGTGTGTGTGTGGTGAGCCTTCATCTCATTCCACTTAAAGATGGCAGTGCTGAGATAAAAGTCTCGGTTTACCTTGTGGCATCCCTGACAGTAGCGGGGCAGCTGAAAAATGAACACTTGCACCTTTTTTATTCCTTTTTTTATTTTTCCTGCCATTGTCTATAAAAGTGTCTGTACTCTAGTTTGGTAACTGGCTTCCTAATTCTACAGATGCTACTCAGGCAGTGTGATATAATAGCTTGTTGCAGTTATTAAGCCAAGTCTTTTATATTATATTTGCATCATATAAAAACTTGTGATTTACACTGGTATTTGGAGGCTATAGAGTCGATTTACTACATCTAGAAAAATAGGCTATTCACTTTGCAAGAGAATTTCCACCTTAGCTTAGTGAATGTGGTGAAAATTCACTTTGCAAAGAATACCCAATCACATTCAAAGAAAATAATAAAAAAAAAAACCACAATATTTTTGCTTGCACGAAATTGGATGCTGGTAGTCAGCAGAGCTTCACCTTATTCACTAAGCGTAGGGGAAATTCAATTGCAAAGTAAACATCATATTTGCCTGTAGTAAATCAACCCCTTTTTCCCTAATTCCCCTATTGCATTAGGTTGTGCACATAAAAGTACAAACACACATGCATGTATATATATTTATATATCTCATACATACATACACAGACCTGAGGCATCCCCGATTCCCATGTCTTCAACTGTCCCCACCTCTTCCAGCAGGACTGCATTAATGAAGCAGGCAGCCTGGCAGGTGGTCATGTGACCACCCGATTGGCTTTCTGATTGGATTGGAAGCCTGGGAAGCTGCAGCCACGCTCCCTTGCAGCTTTCCAGGCACCGAGGACTGCGGTGTTATGTAAAGAATGTAAGTGGCAAGTGCTGCTGTGCTCTGTGACTGGGCCAGTCACAGAGAGATTTTTGTGATCTCTCCACTGGCTCAGTGACTAAAAAAAAAGGTGCCCACTGTTGCGGTTTCTGTGTTGCACTCAGAG